CACGCGCACGCGCACGCGCACGCGCACGCGCAACAAACAAAGAAACAAAAAGAGGTACTCCCCTTTTCAGAAGGTCGCTACTGAACCCTAAACCCCGAAAGCAACACTCAGCATGAAATCAACCCTAAACCCTGGACCCTAAACCTCAACCTCTAAACCCTGCACCCTAAACCCTAGGGGGTAGACACCCTACCACCTTAACCTATTAAATTTTAGGGTTTCAAGCTTTAGGGAGTTTGCAGCCTACGCACGCGCGATCTGCGGAAGCATCCGGCTCCGTGAGAGATTGCAACTCGAGCCCGCCCGACGCGTGTGTGCAACGTCTCCTTCGAGACGGCTGAGAGGTGAGCGTGGCAGGTCCTTGGGCATTCTCTGTGGCCGGGCGCGGGCGAGCACTACAGGGTTGATGCAGTTTAAGGTTTAGGGATTGGGGTTTAGGGTTCAGGGTTCAGGGTTTAGGGTTTAGGGTTTAGGGTTTAGGGGTTAGGGTTTAGGGTTTAGGGTTTCGGGTTTAGGGGGCGTTTCTGAGCAGGAGCGCCTCGACATGGCGCAGGTTAAGGGGAGGTTTTGCTCCGCACAGCCCGGCCGATACAGGAAGTGACTGAGCTGATTGGGAGTGGCTGCCTTTGACCCTAAAGCCAAAGCCCTAAAGCCTTAAAGCCTAAAGCCTTAAAGCCTTAAAGCCCTAAAGCCCTAAAACCTCAAAGCCTCAAAGCCTTAAAGCCCTAAACTCTAATAACCTTAAACCTCCCTGGGCTGACCCAAAACCCTAAACGCTAATACTTAAAACCCTACCTAGCATGAAGCCATTAGGCTCCCTTTTTCGTACTTGGGCACCTGTGACCCCCAGTTCATGGACAGTGTAGTGTTTAGGGAGTAGGCTTTTGGGTTTAGGGTTTAGGGAGTAAGGTGTGGGGTTTAGGGAGTAGGTTTAGGGCATTTTCTCTGGAGTCTGGAGTTTCCTGTCTTTTTGACTTTCTCGTGTGCCTTCTCGTAGGCTCAAGCGGAACATGTCTGGGACGAGGTTCCATGCTTTCGCGCCCGCGCCGCCTATGAAAATCAAAAAGCTAGCTGCCATGGTGCAAAAACGCCTAGAGTCAGCAGGTCTTGTGAGAGGGTGCGCACTGTGCCATGGCAGGTAGCTCTAACAAAATGTGGCATGCACGACATGCAGCTTAACATTCAGCTTGCATCGCAATGTGCTCTCAGTTGTGTCGGTGCAAAAAACCCTACACCCCTAAAGCCTAAACTCGTAAACCCCCAAATAAACCCCTAGACCCGATTCTAAGCCCCTAAACCCCAAACCCCTAATTGACCCCTATACTTTATTAAGCCTGCAACCATCAAACAAAGCCGTGGAAGCATGCCTGAGAGGCTGCCAGGGCCTGTTTGGGCACAGTTTCCGTGCGCCGTTTCTCAAAACATCCCGCCAACGTCCCCGTAGGGCCTCTACACTCGGGCCCCTTAATTCTGGCTAACCCTCTCCGGTCTACCTAGGATGGCCCTTGAACTCTGAAAACATATTCCTGAATACGATCCTCTTAAACCCAACAAGGGGAAGCATACAATGTCCCAAGGGCCTAGCTATCTATGTATGTATACGTGCAACCCCTAAGCCATCCATCCAACGCTCATAGCGATGCGGCAAAACCCCTGAACCCTGAACCCCTGCCCTAAACCCTAAACCCCTAAACCCCTAAAATCCTGAACCCTAAACACTAAACCCCTAAAATTCTAATCCCCTAAACCCCCAAACCCCTAGTTGAATCATCGCGATGCGGCACAACCCTGCACTTGTCACAGGGGAGTCTGCCATAGGTCTGTGCCAGGTTCGGCGACGAGTGGTGTTGGCTAGATTAGGCTTAGCCAGACACAAGAGTAAGCTACAAAAAAAGGGTGCCCTTTTGGGTTCAAAGGGGGCTTATATACAAGGGAGCCTAAACCGTAAACAAAGGGAATGAAGACCTACTGGCCCAGCTACCCTAAACCCTAAACCCTAAAGCCTCGACCCTGACCCCCAAAAAGGGGAATTCGGAATGAGGGCCCAGTCTCAGTCCTAGTCAAGGGCTTCGGGCTGACCCTTCGCCCCAACGACAACGAACCAACGACGGGAGTGAGTCTGCTTTTCAAGTAAGGTTCAGGGTTTAGGGATAAGGGTATAGGGTATAGGCTTTAGGGTTTAGGGTCTAGGGTCGTTTAGGAACCTAAACCACACAAGCATCCAAACAAAAGAGGCCAAAACTTACACTCTTGACTCTTGACACGACCCTAACGTTCAACGGTTTAGGGCTTAGGGCTTAGGATCTAAAACCCAAACCCCTGCCTGTCATATGGGCTGCTACATTCCCTAGGTTTAGGGTTTAGGGTTTAGGGTTTAGGGTTTAGGGTTTAGGAGCGGCCCCCTAGCTACAAGTAGAGCTAGAAGGAACCTAAATTGGGTTCTAAGGATCCTAAATTAGGTTATAAGCCCCTTGCAGGAGCAGGAAGTGCAGGAAACACCTCTATCAACCCTAAACCCTAAACCCTAAAACCCTAAGCCCTAAACCCTAAACCCTAAGACCCTAAAATCCGATTTCCCTCTGTCGACCCCGAAACAGCAAAGGGACCAGGAATTCGAGCACGCTGCAGCTGGGCTCAGGGGGCGGAGTCGTCAGTTCCGCCTTGAGCGAGCCAAAAGGGCTTCAGGGCCTACTTCAGGGTTTAGGCGGCTTTAGGGTTTAGGGTTTAGCGTTTTAGGGTTTTAGGGTTTTAGGGTTTTTGGGATTTAGGGCTTTGGGCCATAGCGGCTCGGGGTTTAGGGTTTTAGGGCTTTAGGGGTTAGGGCTTTGGAGTTTGGGGCTTCGGTGTTTTTATGGCTTTAGTGTCAAGGGCTTAAGGTTTTAGAGTTTCAGGGCTTAGGAGTTCAGAGGTTGAGTAGCCACTGAAGCACCGTGACAGAGGGATTTCTTTGTCATCAGGAATAGAGGAAGGTGTGCTGCGAAGACAGTGTGATGCAGGACAATACCAGCAAAATCCTTCTTAGTACTGTCAGCAACAGACAGAATGACAATCTTTCCTACGCGGAACCTTGCATGGCATTTGGGCCATGATCTGTATTGTGGGCCCATGTTTGTCACATTAGAGAATAGAGGCCCCCCTAACACTCTCAAAACTTGCGGGTATCCCCCCCCCCCCCCTCGTCTCTGCACACCCTGCCGTTGAGGGTCTTTACCGAGAAGCCCTTGTCAGAGCTGGTGGGCGCTCTGGCTGTGATCCAAGCCATGAGGGGAAAGCTTAGGAAACCATATGGAGTACCGCAACTGCTTCCCTGCCGATTAAGGATTATTCGGGTTTAGGGCCCTACTTTGGAGCAGACCCTGGAAAAAAAGGCATATACTTTTTCGGTATAAGTATACTTTAACAGGAACCCGGAATCAAAAACAGTATTAACGTATAGTACTCCAAAACCCAGAGGGTTTTGCTGTTGTCCACCATGCGTGATGTAGCCTTACACAGAAGTAACCTCGGCGACGATCAGAAGTTGAGGACCCGGCCCACGGCCGGCTTCACAACTGAATCCTCAGACGGCGGGTTGTACTTGAAGGACCAGGGTTCAGGGTTTAGGGTTTAGGGTTTAGGGTTTGGGGTTTAGGGTTTAGGGTTTAGGGCTACTTGAAGGTTTCAGGGGGAGTTATATGTAAGGTTATCAGTGCCCTAAGGAAGTTTATAACCGGTTATAAGTATAACTTTAATTGCTTTACATCTGAACCACTTATAGCTACCCATGACTCTTCAAGTAGGGCTTAGAGCAGCTACTGGCGTCTGAGGGCTGAGGGACGTCAGGCTTCAAAACTAGATGGCCGCCGAAACATGAGGCGGACTGCTTAGCTCACTTCGTGAGGCCGACTTCGCTTGGCCAATAAACCCAAAAAAGGTAAGGATCTAAAGTTACGGTAAAGTACCACAAAGTTCGTATCTCACTTCGTGGCTCCGCAAGGATCCTTAGAGCCAACCCCTGTGCCCCAAGCTCCAAAACCCTAAAAGCGTCGAAACCCCTTACAAAAACGCTCAAACCCCCTAACCCCCAGAAAAAAGCCAAACCCCCCAGAAAAAACCCTTTCAAACGCTTAGCCATCCCTAAACCCTAAGCCCTAAGCCCTAAGCCCTAAGCCCTAAGCCCTAAGCCCTAAGCCCTAAGCCCTAAGCCCTAAGCCCTAAGCCCTAAGCCCTAAGCCTTAAACCCTAACCCTCAAGACCTAAACCCTACACCCTAAACCTTAAACCCTAAACCTAAACTGGACTCTTCCCACAAAAGAAGGAAACCGCAATGTCGAGTGAACACGTACACCTGTGTGAAAGCTCGCAGGCTCCCAACTACTGGACCTCGTGCTCTAGGAGGGCTTTGAGGGGTTTTCGGGTGAAATTTATGGTTTTCGGATTTCATTTCGTGGCAAACTTCTCCCCAAAATGCCCGCTGATGCCACACCCCCCCCTAAACCCTAAACCCTAAACCCTAAACCCTAAACCCTAAACCCTAAACCCTAAACCCTAAGCCCTAAGCCCTAAGCCCTAAGCCCTAAACCCTAAACCCTAAACCCTAAACAACCCCAAGAGCCCGACGCCCTGAACCCCAGAACCCAGGACCCGCCCGGCAAAACGCTGAGATGGCCGCCCTTTCTCCATCTCTTCCGTTGTACTGACCTCAGGTGCAGAGGATGTGCTACAGCTGAGGTAATTAGGTTTAGGGCTTCTAGGGTTTGGGGTTTAGGGCTTCTATGGTTTGGGGTGTAGGGCTTTTAGGGTTTAGGGGCTGAACCCAGACCCCCCAAACCCCAGATCCCTCAGACGCTAAACCTTCCATCTTCACCAGCCAGGGAAGATAAACGGCTAAACCTTCACTATTCCACCCCAAGCCGTAAACCCCCAACCCTCAACCGTAACACTAAACCCTCAACTTCCTCAACCCTCAACACAACAAGTTTACAGTTCGTCCCTAAACCCTAAACCCTGAACCTGAAACCCTAAACCCTAAACCCCAAAAGTACACCGAGGTAGTCCAAGCAGGCCCCGGCAGAGGTGCCACGAAGTATCCGTCGAGAGCCTCGACGAGGGATGAGGGTTTAGGGTGTAAGGCTTAGGTCTATACATATATATACATATATATATACATATATATATATACATATGTATATATATACTATGTTTTTTTTGTTTACATACATAATATATATATATATATATATAGATATATAGGGTTTTGGGTGTAGGGTTTATAGGGTGTGGGGTTTAGGGTACGAGGTTTAGGGTATAGGGTTTAAGGCCCCAGGGAGGGGGGACGGAGGGCGGGGAGGGGGGAGGGGGGAGTCCACACCCGAGGCCTACGAGCCCGAGGCCTGCGAGCCGGGAATTGCAAGCCAGCAGCCACCAAAACTCTGTTTGTTGGTTTGCTGGAGGACATTCAACTTCACACCGGTGCTCACTTGAAGCCGCTTGTTGTAGCACCAACTCACAGTCGTGGCTACTTGCGAAACCCATGTTGCAGCCTTGCTCGTCTTGACACTTTGTCAGGCCTTGATACCAGCACTTTGCAACAAGCTCTTGGTGGGGCGAGAGGTTCTCAAAAGCACATCGCTGATGATGTCCGCGTATGCTTGCACAATCATGCCGGGCTCATGATCTAAGTATTTCTTGTCAAGGCCCTGTGGCAGGTGGGCCCTGAGCACTTGTACTAAGTCCTCGGCTTTGCCGAGTTCGCCCTCCTAGGGCTTACAACAACTCTAGACATGCTGCCGTGCTATGCATCGATCCATGCAAACATGCTCCATGCATGCAAGGGCTTAGGGCTTAGCTGTGGTAAGGCAGACTTAGAAACCCTACAAGCCCTATGAACGCAATAAACCCTGTAAACCCTGTAAACCCTGAAAACCGCATCAACCCTAATTATCAACCCTCCAAACCCTACAAAGCGTCGCGAGAGCTGGGCGTCTGAGAGCCGCACGAGAGCGCGAGATCACGCTCCGAGCATCTCGGCACAAGACCCCCAGGGTTTTAGGGTATAGGTGGTGCAAGTTTAGGGTCTAGGCTTAAGGTCTGCTGGGCTGTAGTTTGGTACGGTATACTTGGAAGTCCATGGGTAGTTGTAAGTAGGGTTGTAGGTGCCCGACGTAAGGTTATATGTATAGTTGCCGTACTCATACAGAACTACCCCTGGACCTCCAAGTATATTGGTGGTAATGTAGTAGGGGCTACTTTGGTATACAGGGACTATAAAAGGTAAATGTATATATATATATATATATATATATATATCTACATATAGGTTATCTAAGGGAGTAAGATTAAGGGTTCCTTTTGGGGTCCCTCGTCATCCTCTTCCACTCACATAGCGCCAAGACCGGAAGACCCCAATCACAACCAAAAGCACCAAAAACCTAAACTCTTGGGACCCCCAAAACAAAAAACCCTAAACCATTGGGGGCCTAAATCCTTAGTACCCCAAATACTAAACCCTGATTCCGAAAAAACAAAAAACAGAACCAATCCTCAGACGCCTTAAAACCTAAACCCTCAACCCTAAAACCCTAAAACCCTAAAACCCTAAAACCCTAAAACCCTAAAACCCTAAAACCCTAAAACCCTAAAACCCTAAAACCCTAAAACCCTAAACCCCTAAACCCCTAACCCTAAACCCTACAACCCTAAACAAAAAAAAGAAATCCCCCCCGCTGGGGGTTTGCGCATGATCGGCAGCTGGAGGGTGAGCCCATCCACTGGCTGTTCTCCGGAATCCTTGGGAGCCACCCCCAAGAGTGCAGTTAGGGTTTAGGGTTTAGGGTTTAGGGTTTAGGGTTTAGGGTTTAGGGTTTAGGGTTTAGGGTTTAGGGTTTTAGGGTTTAGGGTTTAGGGTTTAAGATTTAGGGTAACCCTACCCCCCCCCCCCCCCCGCCCCTAAGACCTGAGTCTTTGCGACCTCAAAGCTGTGAAGCTTGAGGGCTTTGAGGGTTAGGCCTTGGGGACGATAGGGCTTCGGGTTAGCCCGGCCCTACTTGGAGGTTCATGGGCAGTTATAAGCAGGGCAAAGGGGGCGGAGGAGACACCGGGATGGTTTAGAGTTTAGGGTTTAGGGTTATGGTTTGCGTTGCGGTTGGGGACCTTAGATTGGGCCGCTGGTATGCGTGTTTTAATTTGGTTAATCTTCTAAAGCTCCTAAACCCCACGCCCGAGACTTTAACCCTAAACCCGACACCCCAAGCCTGAAACCTCTACTTGCACCTAGCCATCTAGCCAGGGTTTCCGCATGTCGTACTACGTTTCGGTATCTGTAGAACTGTGAAAAGTTGGAGCTGAGGTACAAAGGTTCAGGGTTTAGGCCTAAACCCTAAACCCTAAACCCTAAACCCTAAACCCTAAACCCTAACCCCGAACCCCTAAACCCTGCACCCTAAAGGGCTTCGGGTTCGGCCCGATCCCGTCGGATGCAACAACAATCACGGAACGGGGCCCTCCGACCCAGACTCATAAGGGTGGAAGGGAGGGCGTGTCAGGGCCCCATGTCCCCCAAAATAAGGCAACATAAGCCTTAATCAGCCCCAGTAAGGGAATACGGCCCCCTTACACCCGCCGTTGGTGCCTGGGTATGAGGGGGTATGAGAAGGGAGCCCTAGAAGGGACCCTTCATCTTATTCCCCTACATAACCCTTGCCTGTACCTTAAAAAGCCCCTGTCTAGCTAAATAGCCTTGAAAGAAGCCCCCAAAGAATATGTAAGGCCCCTTATAAGGGTCCCTCCAGAAGTCCATGGACTAACGGCAGACCGTCCCCAACGCAAACGTCCGCATGATAAATGATCCGGGCTGGTTTGGCGTGGGGGGGGGGTTTTTGTTTAGGGTTTAGGGTCCAGGGTTTAGGGTTTAGGGCCTTAAACGCCGCGCCGCGATGAACGATAAGTTTCTACGACCCTGAACCCGAAACCCCAAGCCCGAAACCCTAAACACCAAACCGCGATTCTTAAACCCCAAACCCTGAATCCTAGACGCCAACCCTAAACCCTCAACCCCAAACCCTAAACCCAAACCCTAAACCCGAAACCCTAACTAACACCTCACGAAGTAGGGCTCCCTGCACGATGCCCAGGCCCTGAAAGCCGTTGCAGATGGCTATGAGTCTCTCCTTGACGAGACTTGAGGGTTGAGGGTGTAGGGTTTGGGGGTCTAGGGGCTTGGGGTTGAGGGTCAGGGGTCTAGGGGTTTGGGATTTAGGGTTGAGGGTTCATGGGTCTCGGGGTCCAGGGGTCTTAGGGCCCAATGCCTACGGGATCATGAAAAGGGTACTTAAACGAGTTGATACGACCTCGGCGCTTATTTACCGGGTCTAAACTAGGTGTAGTTTCACAAGGGTATAGGGTTTGGGGTATAGGGTTTAGAGTTTAGGGTTTATCCAACGCTTAAGTAAGAACCACGAGCCTTCACGAACCTTGAGCCTGCAAGGACCGCCTCGAGGCCTGCCTCCTCCCCCCACCCCCCTCCTCCCCCCCCACCCCCGCTCCTCCCCCCCACCCCCCTAAACCCTAAACCCTAAACCCTAAACCCTAAACCCTAAACCCTAAACCCTAAACCCTAAACCCTAAACCCTAAACCCTAAACCCTAAACCCTAAACCCTTTTCCAAGGCTGGTGGCGGGCTTCGGGTTTCGGATCTAAGGCTTTCTCTTCTTCACTGCAGGGCTTTGGGGTTTAGGGTTTGCCTTCGCCCCCCCCGTCCTCTGTGGGTTAAGGCTTGGGGTTTAGGTTAGAGTGTGGCTTTTTGTTTTAGGGTGGAGGGTCTAGGTCGAAAGCGAAATGTGCGCGCAGATAAAACCCCGCAAAAAACACATCTTACCCGAAGTCCTAAACACCTATGAGGCCCAGACCCTGACACATCCCCAAAGACTCGAACCCCCAGACCCCAGACCCCAAACCCCAAACCCCAAACCGCAAACCGCAAACCCCAAACCCTAGCCCTAACCCCCCCTCTCCCCTCCCCCAAACTCTGAGGGCCGAATCCTCCAGCTTCCGCATGGCGCGCATCGACTTGCTGTTTGCCTTCCTGCTTTGCATTTGCTTTTTGTTTAGTGGGGGGGGGTTTAGGGTTTAGGGTTTAGGGTTTCGGGTTTTAGGTTATAGGGTTATAGGGTTTAGGGTTAGGGGGAGGGGGGGGGGTTTGGATCCTGGGGTTCAGGGTATAGGGTTTGGGGCTTTTGGGGGGCTTTTAGGACCTGGGGTTCAGGGTACAGGTTCGGAAGTTTAGGTCTTGGCTTACTCGAAGGTCCGCGGTTAGTTGCAGGTAGGGTTCGAGGAACCCCAGTCCCTAAACCCAAAACCCTACTGCGGGGGGGGGGGGGGAAAACAGGTCCCATATACGGGCTGTATGCGGGGCTCATAGGGTGGACGCTGACCCCTAAACCCCAAAGCCTCAAATTCAAATAAACAACCTTTAGCCCTACGACGCTAAAAAAACAAAACTCCCCAATTCCCCTCCCCCCCCCCCCCCCCCCGCCCTTCAATGCAAGTTTAGCACCCGTGGTTGGGCAGGGCCCAACCATGGGACCCTAAACTCTAAACCCCAAACCCTAAACCCCAAACCCTAAACCCCAAACCCTAAACCCCAAACCCTAAACCCTAAACGGGATTTCGGGCTATGAAACCCAAGGGTCCAGACTTCGGAACCCGTTAGAGAAGGCTAAGGGACCACAATATTCAGGGGCCATGTGACTTTTCCCCCTAAAGCCTAAAGCCTAAAGCCTGGACCCTTAAGACCTGCACGCTAAACCCTAAGAAACGACCTAAGCCCCAAGCCCTCAGCTCCTAAAACATCGAATGCAGCGCGAGCGTCTTACTCTCCCGGAGGAGGGTCGCGACATCCGAGCTCTTTGCCTGCAAGGTTTGTGAGGCGCAGGGTTTGGGGTTTAGGGTCTAGTGTCCGGGGGGGAGGGTTGAGAGTTTACTGTTTAGGGTCTAGGGTTTAGGGTTGAGGGCTTTCGCACTTTCCGTGCGAACGTTTACATCCAAATGCCCCCTCGCCTTGAACCATATAGGAGGGCCTTAGGAGGCCTAAATCCCGAAGACCCATAAATCCTAAACTCTCCAGGCCCAGGCGCTAAACCGACCCCAAGTTGAATCCGCCGCGGGTGCTTTTCCTTCCCCTGTTCTGAAAAAGCACCCATGTTTGGGGTTCTTCGGATTGCAAGTGGCCTGATTCCAAGTGAAAACATAGTTCAAGCAGACATAAAGGGGGCTACTGTGGAGGGTTTGATATTAGGACAAGGGGATTTGTTGCAGGGATGGACCCTAAACCCTAAACCCTAAACCCCAAACCCTAAACCCTAAACCCCAAACCCTAAACCCCTAAACCCTTAGCGCCTCGGAGGTGCCACAAGGACTGCGGGGGTCGCAAATCTGGGTAAAGGGGGGGCGAAGAGGGGAGGGATCTTCAATGCCTAAACCTTCAAGCCATCGGGGGCTTCGGGGGTTAAGGGCTTCAGGGGGGGTTTGTGGGTTTGGAGGATTTAGGGGGTTTTAAAGGGTTTTAAGGGGGTCTAGGGTTTTATCGGGGTTTGGGGTCTAGGGGGTTTAGGGGTTAGGGGGGTTTTGGGCTTAGGGGTTTGATGGTATCGCATTTTGAGGGCTTAAGGTTTGAGACCCCTGAATAAACCCTAAACCCTAAACCCTAAGCCCTAAGCCCTAAGCCCTAAGCCCTAAGCCCTAAGCCCTAAGCCCTAAGCCCCAAGCCCTAAGCCCTAAGCCCTAAGCCCTAAACCCTAAACCCTAAACCCTAGCACCAACAGGCAGCCGCGGCGCTTGGCCCCGAAGCTTCTTGCAGCCGAGGATGAACTCCTCGATGTAGACCTCGCGCGGGAAGGGTTTAGGGACCCAGGGCTGAGGGCTCAGTAAACCCCAAGCCCTAAGCCCTAAACCCCAAACCCCAAAGCCTAAGCCCTAAAAACCCTATGCCCTAAACCCTATAAAACCTAAAACCCTAAACCCCTAGACCCGAAACCCTAAACCCTAAAACCCTAAACCCTAAACCCTACACCCTAAACCCTAAACCCTCCACCAGCTCAAGCATGTGCAGCCTCAGCCTGCTCTCGGGATCCGAGACCTAATTCCTCAGGTTTAAGGTTTAGGGTTTAGGGGTTTAGGGGTTTAGGGTTTAGGGTTTGGGGTTTAGGGGTTTAGGGTTTAGGGTTTAGGGCTTAGGGTTTAGGGCTTAGGGTTTAGGGTTTAGGGTTTAGGATTTGGGGTTCAAGGGGCCCCAATGAATAGAATAGGGTTTCGGGGGTTCTTATAGAAATTTTTAGAGGAACCATGAGTAGTAATTATTCCGACCCCTATATTACCCCTAAAAAGGGTCTAGGGTTCTTTGGGTTTCGGGTTTAGAGTTTTAGGGCTTAGGGTTTAGGCTTAGGGTTTCGGGCTTAGGATGTATCGTTTTAGAGTAGAAATTCGTGTCCCTGTAACCGAAAGTGAACGCAATCAAACTTAGCCCCCACTTCAAGGTTCATGGGTAGTTATCAGTTGGGTAAGAAATATCTGAATAAGGATTTAACCAGTTCTATCTTTAGTTACCCTACTCTTATCCCCGCTTATAACTACCCCTGAGCCTCCAAGTAAGAAGGGGATGCGGGCACTACTGGGCGTCCTGGGTTGTGGGGCCTGGCTAGCGTCTCTATTAGGTATAAGCCGTTTGGCTTCCCTAAACCCTAAACCCTAAACCCTAAAAAGGAAATCCAGCGACTCCCATCCCTGCAACTGCGTAGACAAAGCCATGCTGATGAGTGAGGACCAAAACTAAGACCCGAACATCGCATCGTCAGACCTCGTCTGCCAAAACTCGAGGTCGAAGGGCGCCAGCGCGCTGGAGACCTGATCGTCGAATTGGGCCCTGATGCCCTCCACGAAAACTTGGCACAATGTTGTACCACTCCGAGCTGCTCGGCAACCCATTGAGTGACCTTCTTCCAGCACCGGCAGAGAAGAATAGCATCTCTCCGGATAGAAATTTCAGGTCTGCCATAGAGAAACTTCCAGGACCTCCGAAGGGTCTGGACCAGGCCGGTCGTGTAGGAAGACTCCAACACCAACGGTCGCCGGAGCTCACCGCTGGGGGATCGAAAACAAAAGAGTGCGTTGAGTTGGTCTTCGAGGGATGCAATCTGATGCGCTGAGCGTGCCGTGTGTGAAGCGGCTTTCTCGTTTTTGATTCCATCGAAGGACCACGCGAACTGAATGGCCACAGTGGCCAATTCAGACACAAGGGCGGATACCTCTAGCTTCATCCTTATTTAGGGTACTTGGTAACACTGCTTTTCAAACTTCCCGTGAACCTCCAAGTAGGAGGTTCTCTGAGGTGCTTGTACACAGCCCTAGGGGTCTACCAATTGCTTAAGAACCCCGGGAAATAAACACATATTCCTTATTAAGGGTAATGTAGGGAATATGATTGGGGTTCTTAAGCGAATAGTAGGAACACTTAAGAGCCCTGGGAAATGTTTAGGGTTTTAGGGTTTAGGGCTTAGGGTTTGGGGTTTCAGGGTCTTGGGGTTTCGGGTTTTGGGGATACTTAACTGGGAATCTACCAATTGCTTAAGAACCCCGGAAAGTAAAACATCATATTCCTTACTAAGGGTAATGTAGGGAATCTTACTGTTTACTTTTTTGGGGTTCTTGAGCAAATAGTAGGAATGCTTAAAAGCTTCAGGCTTCCGAAAAAATGAAACGAAGGGTGGAATCCCTCCGAAAAGCACCTTTTGCAACCCCGGCAGGGGGCTTAGGAATCTCAAGGCAAAAAACTGCACAACTCCTGTAGAAAACAGCGGTTTAGGGTTTAGGGTTTAGGGTTTATGGTTTAGGGTTTAGGGTTTAGGGCAACAACTGGCCGCCTCTCCGTCACCGTCTTGGTCCAGGAGGTTGAAGAGCTCTCCTTTGATCGGCGGCTTCGGGTTTGAGGGGGTTGGCACGCATGTGCCGGACGACAAACACCGGTGTTTTGCAGGAGGCCCGCAAAAGTTGGTGGGTTTTGGCAAAAGGGGGCCCAAGAACCTCTTCAAAAAGCAAAACCCTAAACCCTAAACCCTGATGGGCAACGCTGCACGACGAAATGATGTAGGAGGCCGAACCTGGAGACTTGGAGGTTCATGGTGTAGTTTCAGGGTTTAGGGTTCAGGGGTTTAGGGTTAAAGGTTTAGGGTTATAAAGTGCCGCAAATGAAGGAAAGAAGGGTTTTAATCACGTAACCCGAAATAAGGTTGTAGCTAGAGCTATCCTACTTGCAACTGCCCATGACCTTACTTCTCCTAAAAACCCAGTGGAGAAAAAAGGTTAAACTATTAATATTCCTACTGAAAATAAAGGAAACCTAAAAAGCTTAAAGTTCAACTAAAGGCGAAGTAAGTGAGTTTCCCAGCAGCCCGGTGCTTGAGCCCTAGAAACCTACATGCACTCTCACCCAGAAGCCACCCAAAACCAATGAAGCCCCTGAAGCCCCCAAAGGACCCAGCAGCCTAAATCCCTAGAACCCCAAAACCCCGAACGGCCTCAAAGCCTCAAAGCCTCAAACCCTGAAACCCGAAAAGCCTGAACCTCCAAAAACTCTGAAACCCTAAAACCCTAAGACTGACCCTGAAACCCTAAAAGTCTAAAACCCTAAATCCCTAAAGCCGAAAACCCTAAAAGCCTTAAACCCTAAAAACCCACAGCCCAGCAGGCTGCGGCTTAGGGTTTGGGGTTTGGGGTTTAGGGCTTGGGGTTTAGGGTTTAGGGCTTTTCGGGTGTTCAGGGTTGCAAGGCATGGGGCTCTAGAGGGCATCGGGAGGGTTTAGGGTTCAGGGCATTGGGTTTACAAGGGTTGAGGGTTCAAAAGGTTTTAGGGTTCCGCGTTTAGGGTTTAGGGGGTAACCCTAAACCCTAAACCCTAAACCCTAAATCCTAAACCCTAAACCCTAAAGGTTTCAAGGATCAGGGCTTCAGGGCTTAAAACATCAGCCGCGCTTCGGGCATCCGACGTGTCCAGCTGCTGCGTGGCGAAGTAGGCCTGTACCTGAAAACAAGGAGCTCCCCCCAAGAAAGAGTCCAAGTAGCCCTAAACCCTAAACCCTAAACCCTAAACCCTAAACCCTAAACCCTACACCCTAAACCCTAAACCCTAAACCCTGATGTCAACAGCATCTACTTGGGCCTGGAAGGTTCATATATACGACATTGGTGCCTTGAAGAGGAGCTTGGCTTCTTGCCAAGGAAGTTCAAGAGGCTTTAGGGTTTAGGGTTTAGGATTAGGGTTATTTAGGGCTATACCACTCTAAAGCTATGTACCTGCTGAGAAGGTGCGGGTTTCAGGGTGTTTGTTTGCTGGACTTTCAGGGTGCCGTAGGGCTTCGGGTGGGGTTACGAGCGGCCCTAAACCTCAGAACAAAAAAACAAACTCCAAACCCCAAACCTAAACCCCAACAGCCCCCCCCCCCCCCCCCAAAAAAAAAAAAAAAAAGAGAGAGAACTGAACCCTAAAACCGTAAACCCTGAACCCTAAACCCTAAACCCTAAACCGGGCACGTGCTCGTTGTGAATGAAGGACCGGAACTGCTCCCAGTCGATGCATCCGGTGCCCTCTGCGTCGACCTTTTGGGGCTTTTGGGGGTTTAGGGTTTAGGGTTTAGGGTTTAGGCTTGAGGGTTGTGGGTTTCAACCCTAAACCCAAAGCCCTGAGCCCTAAACCCCAAATCCTTAACCCTACGAGTTTGGGGGTTTTGGATTTAGGCCGATTCAGGTTTTGGGGTTTTAAGGCCTAGGCTCTAGGGACTGTAGGGCAAAGGGTTGCGAAGCATCCGCAGGAATGATAATCTAGTCGGGTTCAAGGTTATAGGGTTTATGCCATATCGCAGGACTGTAAGGAGCCTGGCACCTGTCATATGTCTATATCCCTAGCCCTAAACCCTAAACCCTAAACCCTAAACCCTAAACCCTAAACCCTAAACCCTAAACCCTAAACCCTAAACCCTAAACCCTAAACCCTAAACCCTAAACCCTAAACCCTAAACCCTAAACCCTAAACCCTAAACCCTAAACCCTAAACCCTAAACCCTAAACCCTAACCCTAAACCCTAACTGGTGCCTCATTTTGTCGGCCCTAAACTCGAAAACTCTAAATTGGGAGGCAATACCTTCTGAGTCAAGCCATTGGTCCGTAAAGGCAAACCACCTGCGGCGAGATTGGGCACCTTGCTCTCAAAAGAGAGGTCAAGCCCCTTTGGTTTAGGGTTTAGGGTTTGGGGTTTAGGGTTCAGGGTTTAGGGTTAGGGTGGCCTCCCTCAGAGCCTTTGGTGCTTGGGGGCTTAAGGGGGAGGGGTTGCTCCTGGTTTAATAAACGATAAAAAGAACCCTGAAGCCCTGAACCCGAAAAGCTAGAACTAAACAAACAAAAAGCCTCAAAACCCTAAAGCCCTCAAACCTTCAGTCCTTAAACCTAAAGTTCTAGAGTCCTACAAACCTGTAAACAAATGCGCCCTAACCCCTAAACCCCTAAACCCCTAAACCCCTAAACCCCTAAACCCCTAAACCCCTAAACCCCTAAACCCCTAAACCCCTAAACCCCTAAACCCAAAAACCCAAAAACCCAAAAGCCCTAAACCCCAGACCCGAAACCCTAAACCCTAAAACCCTAAAACCCTAAACCCTCCTCCCAAGCAGAGAAAAGCTGCGCAACCCTCTAAACCCTAAACCCCTAAACCCCCCCTAAACCCCTAAACCCCTAGACCCCTAAACCCTAAACCCCTAAACCCCTAAACCCCTAAACCCCTAAACCCCTAAACCCCTAAACCCCTAAACCCCTAAACCCCTAAACCCCTAAACCCCTAAACCCCTAAACCCCTAAACCCCATAAACCCCTAAACCCCTAAACCCAAAAACCCAAAAACCCAAAAACCCAAAAACCCAAAAACCCAAAAACCCAAAAACCCAAAAACCCAAAAACCCAAAAAACCCAAAACCCAAAAACCCTAAACCCTAAACCCTAACCCCTAAACCCTAAACCGCTGGCCTCCTCGAAGATGCTCTTCATCTCAGCCACGAAGGACCTGGCAGCTGCAAGGCGTCTCAGAACCGTTCGGGGTTTAGGGTTATAGGGTTTATAGGGTTTGAAGGGTTTATAAGGCTTATAGGGCTTATAATTACAGGGCTTAGAGGGTTTATAGAGTTTACAGGGTTTATAGGGTTTATAGCATTACAGGGCTTATAGGGCTTATAGGGCACATAGGCTTTGGGGTTTTGGGGTTTTTAGGGCTTTTGGGGGATTTAGGGCTTTTGGGTTTTTTTTTGGGTTTTTAGGGTTTATGGGGTTTAGGGCTTTTAGGGCTTGTAGGGCTTGTAGGCTTAGGGTGTTTAGGGTTCATAGGGTTCATAGGGTTCATAGGGTTTATAGGGTTTATAGGGTTCATAGGGTTTATAGGGTTTATAGGGTTTACGGGCTTTATAGGGTTTATAGGGTTTCAGGCTTTATAGGGTTTATAGGGTTTATAGGCTTTATAGGGTTTAGGGTTTTGACGGTTTAGGGTTTTTAGGGTTGAGAGTTTAGGCTTTAGGGTTTAGGCTTTAGGATGACCGTCCGAAGAGCCCAACTACCGGGTTCAGGATTCAGGGTTTAGGGCTTCAGGGTTTAGGGTTTGGTGTTTAGGGTTTAGGGTAGTTTAGGGCTTCAGGGTTTGGGGCTTTGGGTTTAGGGCTAAGGGTTCAAGTTTCGGGTTTGGGGGTTTAGGGTTTGGGATTTAGGGTCTCGAGGGTTTAGGGCATAGTGGTTTAGGGCTTATGGCTCCTCCACCAAAACCCTCTTTTGGAGAAGGTACCTTAGTCTACATTTGCGGAATCTATGTGGGTGGCTATCTTAGGGTCCCTGGGGGAGTCCTTGCTTTAAGGGTGCCGCACTAAATACAGGGGACCCAAAAAGGGGACCCCTAATTTAGAGTACGTACTACCCAGGTTCATCCAGGTTAGTTGGAGTGGGTTTGTGGTCTCAGGGTTTTGGCGCCTGAGGTTTGGGGGGGGGGGGGTTTTCCGGTTTTTTGGCTTAGGGATTAGGGTTTTTAGGGTCTAGGGTTCTAGGGTTTAGGGTTTCAGGTTGCTTCGCTAGCAGTCCTTAGCATTGACTAGTACCCCCCCCCCCCCCCCCCCCCCCCCCAAAAAAAAAAAAAAAAAAAAAAAACAAAAAAAAATCCTACTAAGGACTGTTAGTAAGGGGAACATTCCAAGTTTCAGTGTTTGGGTGGGGATAAAGGGCGCTGGCTACATAAGGCAAGGAGACGCCGGCTGGAGGTCTGAAGGCCCTGCGTTAAGGGCTACGGGCCTCGTACCTGGCTAGGGTTTAGGGTTTAGGGTTTAGGGTCTAGGGTTTAGGGTTTAAGGCTTAGGGTTTAGGGCTTAGGGTTTCGGGTTTGGGGTTTAGGGTGGGTTAGACTTCAGGGTCTCCCCTTGCCCAAACACATGCTTGCCCGGCTCGTCAGACACCAGCTCGGACTGGATGGCCTGGAAGAGGGCCCAGTGTGCTTTGGAGTGTATTTTGTTCAGGGGTTTTATGGGTTTAGGGGTTTATGGGTTTAGGGTTTAAACCTGGAGAGTTTTCAGCTCCGGCCTCTTGGGCTCTCTTGCTGTAGAATGAAGTGGTGCCATGCCTGGGGCCCTTCGGCACTGGGGCGTGAAAGAAAGCTTGTCTTTTTTTTTTGAGAAGCTCCTGCACAGGCCTGCTTGTGCGCAACCAACATGATCCACAGGCCCACAATTTTGTCTGAGGGCAAGATGCCATGTACTCATACTCTTACAAAACAAAAATAATCCTCATATTGCCCTTATAAGGAAGAGTACTTTGTGTTTTTTGGGGGGTCTTATACTCATACCCTTTGCTTACGCTTCTGGCTTCAACGGTTCTGCTGCGTGGGCTGGTCCAAAACCCCAAACCCTAACCCTACACCCTAAAGCCAGCACATAGCCAGGAAATCAGGGTGTTGCTCATAAGTGCGCTCATGAACTGAAAGAACCCTGCCACTGCGGCCCTTTATTGAAGAGATGGCGGGGTTGGTGGGTTTCTACTATTTGCTTAAGAACCCAAAAAATATACTATATTCTTCCTGATAAGGGTAATATAGGGATCATTTTTGTTTTAACTTTTGGGGGGGGAGTCCTTAAGCAAACAGTAGGCTCAAGGTCGCTGAGGTCGACTCGCAGTGACGCTCGAGCAGCTCACTCGTTTGGTTCGAGAATTTCCCACAAGAAGTCAACTCACTCCCTTTCTTTTTGCGTACGAAGAGGGGGAGAGGTGTCTTTGCAACTAGAATGGGTATTTTGGGCATGGCTTATAACAGTATAGTAGTGCAGAGGTCAGGGAGCATAAGGTGAGCATATCTGACATCGTTTAGGCTCGCGCACTATCATTTAGGCTCGTCTACCCGTCTAAACCACAAACTCCAGGCCCTAAACCCTAAACCGGCCCAACCCCTCCCCAACCAACCCCTACAATTACTTCCCTCACAATCACCATGGAAAAAGAACACATTTTAAATCTTCCATTGGGCGCTATAAATGCAAAAAAACACGTATGAAGCAGGGTTTATACCCCTGGTAAGCCTAAAAGGACAACCAATATATACACCAATATAAAGAACCCTACAACAAAAGTATAAACCCTACAGTACTTCATACATATATATATATGTATATATATATATATATGTATGTATGTATATAGATACGAACCCTAACCCAAAAGATCCTAAACCTCAAGCCCCTAAAAACTCTATAGTTCTTAGAGGTTCATGGATAATTATCAGTGGGGTTATAAGTAGGGCGACTACAGTTAGAATTGGCTATAACCTTATTTAGGCTACCGAGTAAAACTACCAATGAACCTCCAAGTTATCGAAAGAAGTCTTCGAGCAGTACTTCCTTCATATGTATATGACAAACCCTACCCTAACCCTAAACCCTAAACCCTAAACCCTAAACCCTAAACCCTAAACCCTAAACCCTGACCCCCCCCCCCCCCCCCCCCAAACACTATACTTCCTAAAGAAGGTATAGGAAAGAAGTCTCCGAGTGCGCTGCCAAGTCCCGATCCAGCCGTGACAGTTCGCAGGCGCGCTGAACCTGAGGGGCTTCGGAGGATTCTTTACATCTCCGATAGGGTTTAGGGTTTAGGGTTTAGGGTTTAGGGTTTAGGGTTTAGGGTTTAGGGTTTAGGGTTTAGGGTTTGGGGTTTAGGGTTTAGGGTTTAGGGTTTAGGGTTTAGGGTTTAGGGTTTAGGGTTTAGGGTTTAGGGTTTAGGGTTTACAAAAAAAGGGAAGCCCAGAAAGCCATGTGACCACATAAGCAGAAGTTTCAAAAACCGACACACCACCTACACCCTAATGTCTAACTGGGAGCCTATCTACCTACAGGTTTAAGGTCACACCTACTAAACAGGGGGTACCTACTGCTAACCTGTAGGCAAATAGGGTCCCAGGTCAACCCTGAACCCCAAGCCCTAAACCCGACATGGAACCCAGACACCGAACAATAGAGGGTTTAGGGTCCCCTGAAACCCTCGGTTTAGGGTTTAGGGTTTAGGGTCCCCTGAAACCCTCTGAGAAACCTTCATGGAGAAGGCCCTCTGCCGCACAGGTCTTGCCCAGGGCTTTGAAGTTTAGTGCTAGATCTCAACCGCAACGTGGCTTTGAAAGCTCCGAAACTAGAATCAGCATTTCATCCCAAGCTAGCACCCAGCCGAGTTTAGCCCGAAGCCCCCAAAGCCGAACCCCCGAAACCCCCGAAACCCCGAAACCCCTAGAACCCCTAAACCCCTAAATCCCTAAACCCCTAAACCCCTAGACCTCAAACCCCTAAAACCCCTAATAGCCCTAAACGCCCCACCCCAAATGGCCCGAGAGCCGGACGAATGCACTGGTCAGCACGTTCAGGACCTTTCTATACTGTCAACTGTACACGAGTTAGGGTCTTGGGGGAGGTTAGGGCGTTAGGAATCTTAAGGGCTTTTGGGTTTAGGGTTTCGGGTTTTTAGGCTTAGGGTTGAGGGTTTTGGGTTCTGGGTTTAAGGGTTTAGAACTTCAGTAAGGTTCAGGGCTTCGGGTTTCGGGGTCTACGCCTCGAACGTTGCTACCTCTGCCGCCCAGCTACGCCAATCACCACGAAGAGGACGTAGAAGGCGAAGAGGATCTGTCGCTGAACCCGAGGTTCAAGGTACTTAATAGCCAATTACAACTATACTTATAGCTGTACTTATAACCACATTAGGGCTCTTCACGGGGCTTAGAAGGGGGTATAAGTAGGGTTATAATTGGTTCATAAGGTACCATGAACCTCCAAGCTAGGCCCCCTGGTAGCCTACCCTTCTTGCTTCCAGGGACCTAACCCTAAACCCTAAACCCTGATGGGTTACTAAAACCCTTAAGGACTCAATTCTCAGGTCCCTGGAGGTGTAGGGCCAGGAATGAAGGATCATGGGGAACTAGGATTGTAAGCGAAGGGGAGTATACTGGGCTCATATTCCGTAAGAAGCCCGGCAGATATTTGCTGGTACTCCCTAAGGTCCTGTGGCTGCCCCTAAGGTTTAGGGGTTTCAAGGGTTGCGGCTTTAGGGGCTACGTGCTTGTAGATTCATGGGCTTACCGGCTCGCGGCAAGCTTGATTCGGCTTCGGATGAAGGGTTGGGATACTGTCATTGCGGCGAAGGAAAACGCATTCTCAGCAAGATCTTTCTGGAAGGGCTCGAAGTCATCGGTGATGTCCATGGCCGACTGCAGCTTTTCGGAATACCCCTGGAGCAAAGAGTGCTGTCGTCCAGACAGAACTTTGCGCTTGTAGACCAGACTTGACTTTGGACACACACATGGCGAGGCCCTAAACCCTAAACCCTAAACCCTAAACCCTAAACCCTAAACCCTAAACCCTAAACCCTAAACCCTAAACCTTAAACCCTAAACCCTAAACCCTAAACCACTCGATGGTCTGGTCAATTGTTGAACCCCGTGCCACCCCTCCACCCCCTCCCGACCTCCCAGGCTCCTAAAGCCGTAAACCGAGAAGCCCAGAATCCGCTGAAGCCCTGAAACCCCGAACTCTAAACCGAAGTCGTACGAGGAAGCTATGAGTTTAGTCTATGCCTATAACCTTACCTAAGTCCTACTTATCTACTATTTGCTTAAGAACCCCTCTAAAAATGAAACACAATAGTCCCTATTTTGCCCGTATAGCAAAAGAATACTTTGATTTTTTGTGGCGGGCGGGTTGTTAAGCACATAGTAGTTATAACTACCCAACAAACCTCCAAGTAGCCCTAAGTCCTAAACCCTAAACCTACTTACCTACTTAGAAACTTAGAAATACCCAAAAAACTCCAAAAGTAATAGAGGGGTCAGAATAATTGCTAATGGAATTCCCTTATGGTCCCTTTATAATTCTACTATAAACCCCCCACCTCCAAAAAAAACGATTCTCATTTTTCAGGCCCCTATAGTAAGGTTGGAGCCTGGTACAGCCAGTTGATGTCACCCAACGGCTCGGCAATCTGATACCAGTCTTCACCTCCGGAAACTCGGGTTTGGGGTTTGGGGTTTAGGGTTTGGGGTTTAGGGTGTTTGATTCAGGGCTTGGGGTTTGGGGTTTGAGCTCTAGGCGAGGTTTGCGCCCTCAAACCTCCACAACCTACAACCCCCTCCCCCCCCCGCCCCCACGCTGCCCCACACTACACTCCGCGAATAAGTGGCCTCTTGGGCTTTATAACATAGAGGGTTTAGGGCTACTTGGAGGTTTTGTGTATATAGTATATAGCTCTACTTAGACCCTAAACCCTCAAACGCGAAGCTTAAACATGCCTCGTTAAACTAACATACAACCCGCAAAAGATCCACCCTAAACAACCCTTAAGGCACCCTTCAGAAAAAGCCACCGTGACGGGTTTTAGCGACTGCGAAAAGGCACATGACGGTATGACCGGATATGCCGGGTATGGGGAACTGAGACAATGTATAGGCGGCATTTTAACCCGATCAAAAGCAGCCACCCTTGAAAAGCCGCTGAACTTTGAACCCGAGTGTGCTCGGCCATACCCGCACGTACCCGGGCATGCTCGGGAGTAACGAGTATACTCAGGTATACTCGGGCGTGCGCAGGCGTGCACCGGAAACAGCCGCTGAGCGCCGTCGCAATGAGAAAAAGCCGAAAAGCCCTTTAAACAACCTCAAAGAATCCTTTAACAACCCAAAGAAAACAGAAACAAGCCCTTCAATAACAACCTGAAAACAAAACCCAAAAAAGACCTTTAACAACACTCTTTGGGATGTTCCCCCATGTACTAACAGTCCTTCATAAGGATTGCAGTACCCCCCTATTCCAGTCCCTACTAAGGACTGCTAGTATAAGGGGAACATCCCAACCCAAACCCTTAAATAACTACGTAACCCTAAACCCTAAACCCTAAACTTTTAAGCCTTAAACCCTAAACACAACCCTACAAGCGCGTCCAAGCAGGCCTCCAGTGACGGCCAGCAGCAGCGAGTACATCGAGCGGGGGACCTAAGGTGCCCCGTAAACCCTAAACCCTACACCCTAAACTTAAACCCTACACCCTAAACCCTAAACCCTACACCCTAAACCCTAAACCCTAAAGCCTAAACCCTAAACCCTAAACCCTGAACCCTGAACCCTGAACCCTGAACCCTGAACCCTGACCCCCAAACCCCAAACCCCAAACCCCAAACCCAAAACCCTAAACCTCCCCTTTTCCCCACAAGGCCACGGCTTAGGGCATCTAAGGGGTTGAGGGTTGGGGGTTGAGGGTTTGCTTGAAGGTTCATGGGCAATTAGAAGTAGGGTTCTAAGGTTGAGGGTTTAGGGTTCACGGTTTGAGGGTTTAGGAGTTTATAGGAGTTTGGGGCTTTGGTGTTGGGGGTTTCAGGAATTTGGGGCCATAGGGTGTTCAAGGGGTTGAGGGCCTGGGGTTGGGGGTTTAGGGTTTCTTGAAGGTTCACGGGCAGTTAGAAGCAGGGTTATAAGTATTCTAAAAATGGCTATAACCATCTAAAACTATAGCTAGACTGGTTATAGCCCGACTTGTAACTACCCATGAACCTTTCAGTAGGGTTCAAGGTTTTGGGGTGACATGCTTTCACACGGCTCATTAGGGGTTTGGGGTATTTTGTCGGGAGCTTTGGGGTGAAGCCCTAAACCCAAAGCTAGTTCATGGTTGGGATAGGATTGAAGATTTGAATTTCTACTACTGATTGAGTTTAAGTACCCTCAAACCTGTGCAATGTCACCCCACTATGACAAAGGAAACCCTGAGCGGTTTCGGGCTTGGTGTGTAGTGTCTATAGGCCCTTGAACCCCCCCCCCCCCCCTCCCCTCCAAAAAACCCTTGAGGGATTTGAGCAGCCCTAAAAAATCACTAAAACCCAAAAACCCTAAACCCTCGACAGGGTCCCGAACAAGCACAACAAAACCTGAGTGCGATGAAGCCCAAGCTAGCCCCAAGCGAAACCTAGGAATGAAAAGGGGTGGTGGTAGGGTTGAGGGTTCAGGGTTTCGGGTTTAGGGCATAAGGAAACCCAACAAAAGGGAATAAGGGCCTACTCTGGGTCCTAGCAAGTGCCCGTCAACGCTGGGGGCAGCACGGTTCCATACCACGCCTTCCCGCCGGAGGAGGTTTAAGGTGGTTAGCGTCTTTGGGGTTTAGGATATTGAGTTTCAGGCCGAAAGCCCAAGTACACCCAACACCTCGTCTAGTGCATTTCCCCCATAGACCCAGATTCTGAAGCTTCACGGGCACTTACAGATGAGTACCCTCAACACAATTGGCTTCCATAGGTCACGGGGTAGTTTCATGGTACCCCTTATATACCCAATTCAGGCCCCATACTTCGGAATCCTTTAAAGGAGGTAAGGGACCACATTAAGGGCCCCATATAGCTACCCTTAGATTCTAGGGGAAACTACGCTTTAGAATAGGATATGATCGGTTCAAACCTCCAAAATTCTCTCTGCGGGGTTCTGAGAGGGAAGCCGATTCTCACGTTAATTCACCCTATACCCTAAACCCTAAACCCTCAACCCTAAACCCTGAACCCTAAACCTTAAACACTAAACACTAAACCCTAAACCCCTTTGCAACTGGACTGCGAACAACTGCCAGGAAAAGACACGACCCCCACTCAGCCTCGGCAAAAACCCGGTACGTTCTCGTAAACCCCTACACCCTAAAACCCCTAAACCCCTAAACCCCTAAACCGCTAAACCCCTAAACCCCCTAAACCCCCTAAACCCCTAAACCCCTAAACCCCCAAACCCCTAAACCCCTAAACCCCTAAACCCCTAAACCCTAAGCCCTAAACCCCAAAACCCCAAAACCCCAAAACCCTAAACCCCTAGGATTTTAGGGTTTTAGGGTTTTAGGGGTTTAGGGTTTTGGGATTAGGGTTTGTTGAGTTTCAGGCCGAAAGCCCAAGTATACCCTACACTCGGTCCAGTGCCTTTCCCCCCACGCCCCCGCATAAACCCAGATCCCTCACAATCACGTCGAAAGGCAGAACGAACACATGCCTTCTCTGAAGCTTCATGGGCACTTCCCTTTGAGTACCCTCCACTCAACACAATTGGTTACAGGAGAATCCATAGGTCATAGGGCAGCTTCATGGTCCCTTAGAATGGGCTCTTACAAGGGCACCCCTTCCCCTTATATACCCTATACAAACTAAGGCCCCATACTTCGGAATCCTTTAAAGGAGGTAAGGGACCACATTAAGGACCCATATAGCTACCCTGAGATTCTAGGGGAAGCTACGCTTTAGAATAGGATATGATCGCTTCAAAGCTCCAAAATTCTCTCTCTGCTGGGTTCTGAGAGGGAAGCCGATTCTCACGTTAATTCCCCGGTGTTTGTCGTATGGTACACCCTACACCCTAAACCCCAAACCCTGAGCCCTGAACCCTGAACCCTAAACCCTAAACCCCTTTGCAACTGGACTGCGAACAACTGCCAGGAAAAGACACGACCCCCCACTCAGCCTCGGCAAAAACCCGGTACGTTTCCGTAAACTCCTACACCCCAAACCCCTAAACCGTAAATCCCAACCCCCAAACCCCAAACCCTAAACCCTAAACCCTAAACCCTAAACCCTAAACCCTAAACCCTAAACCCTAAACCCTAAACCCTAAACCCTAAACCCTAGGAAGGCCTCAAGGGAGTGCCGCACGTCCTCCTTGCCAGTGTCCTGCTGGAAGTACCTGGGGGAGTTTTGGGGGTTTAGGGTTTTAGGTTTTAGGGTTTAGGTTTTAGGGTTAGGGTTTAGGGTTCGGGTTTAGGGTTTAGGGTTTAGGGCTTAGGGCTTAGGGCTTAGGGTTTAGGGTTTGGGGTTTGGGGTTTGGGGTTTGGGGTTTGGGGTTTAGGGCTTAGAGTTCTTGGGGTTTAGGGTTTGGGGTTTGGCGTGGGAGGGCACTAAGGGGCTATATAAGGCTTACGTAAGGGGCTTCTATACGGGGCGCGCTTGGGGATCTCGCCCACCTGAAATGGGCCTACACTGACACACGGTAATCCGAAATCATGAAGTCCGGAAGCGTGCAAGAAAATCCAAACATTCGAGATCGGGTATAGGGCTTAAGGTTTAGTGTTTAGGGTTGAGTCACTCCTCAACTACCCTGCCCCCCTTCCTTCCGAGAGTTTTTACAGGGTCCCCTAAGAACAGCAACAACCAATCAAAACACAACCGTCAATCTAGTTTAGGGTTTAGGGTTTAAGGTTTAGGGCAGCATCCCTTGCTAAGAGCTGGGCAGTGTGGCTCCATGCATGAAGATGATGGTGAAGAGGTACCTGGTTTCGAGTCAAGAATCCAGGAATACCACCAACGGGCCCTAGCCCGAAACACCCAACACCGTGAAACACGGTTCCAGGTTTAGGAGGGTTTAGGGTACCCTGGATGGGAAACCGAAACCCGAAGCCATGAAGCCTATACCCTGAGACCCTAACCCTAAACCGAAAACCCTGAACCCTAAACCCGAAGCCCTAAACTCTAAATCCTAAACCCCAAACCCTAAGCCTAGACCCCGAAGCTGCTAAGCCCCCGGAAGGGCTCTAGAACAGGGAAGGGCTCACTTAATCTCTCCACTGTCCGTGCCTGAGCGGCCTCTTTGGCATGTAGACGACTGCTGAAACGAAGCGCCCTAAAGTCACGTCTCTAACCCCGAAAATCCCCAACACAAAACGAAAAAGACACGTCAACGTGCTGAGTCAAAAGAGCTTCCAAGGAAAGCCCCGAAGCCTAAACCCTAAACCCTAAACCCTAAACCCTAAACCCTAAACCCTTACGGTAAAAGGGAAAAAGGGTCTTGGGGTCTTGGGTTTAGGGGGTTAGGGTTCTGGGTTTGAGAATCAGGGACTTAGGGGGGTGAGGTCTTGGGTTTAAGGAGTTTAGGAGACTCCGGTCTTAGGGTTCAGGATAGGGTTCAGTTCCAATGGGGGGTGGCTGAACTCGGGATCTCGGGTTTGGGGTTTAGGGGATTAGGATGCGCAAGTGTTTAACGCACTTCACGTAGGGCTTATGGTTTTGCAGGGTTTATGGTGTTGGGCCTTGGGGGGTTTCGGGGGCTTCAGGGCTCAACCCGCACAAAGCACTACCAGGGTTGTACTGTGTCGGGTTCAAAGTTCTCCAAGCCCTAAATCCCCGCCCCCCATCCCCCAAACTTCAACCCCAAAATCATAAACCCTAAGCCCTAAGCCCTAAGCCCTAAACCCTAAACCCTAAAACCTAAACCCTAAACCCTCGGGCGTACATGATCAGCAGCAGGAGCATCAATGCCCAGGATAGGGACACCATGGACCTTGCCAGCGTGTAGGTCGGTTCAGGATCGAACCCCCGAGGTTGGGAACTTTTCCTAACAGCCCTGAATAGGGTTTAGAATAATAGGTGGTGCTATGATCCCTATTGGTATCAGGGGAACATCCCAACCCCAAGGTCACGAACTGCTTGTTGCGAGGGGGCGGAGATGTGAGTCAGATCCCGCGAAGCATCCGCACAAGTTCATACTATGCCCTAAAAACCCTAAATATCCAAATTCAAAAACAACAAAATGATGAAACATCCTGCAGCCCTAAAGCCCGAAGCCGCCAAGCCCTAAACACTAAACCTTGAAACCCCAAAAGTCCCCAAAGCACCCTATGAACCCCTGAAAGCCCCATAACCGCTATGCCCTATGCACCCTAAACCCTAAACCCTAAACCCGGGGTGCGACCTTGAGCTGAAACAGGAATTGGAGTTGCAGGAACGCCGTAAAGCCCGAAACCCTGGCAACTCACCAACAACCCTAAGAAACGAAAATCCCAAAACACTCCCAAGCCCTAGAGCCAAAAGGGTTTAGGGTTTAGGGTTTAAGGCTTAGGGCTTAGGGAACCCCACCCCCCCTCCCTCTCCAAACCAAAAACCTCTGATTGAAGGCCTCAGCCCCACATAGTGATGTGAGAATAAAAACCAAGACCCCAAAACCCCAGCGCCTGAAGCCCAGTCATGCAAAGCCAAAACGGCTTACATCCTGACTAGGCCACTGAATCCCCAAATCCCAGAGCCAGTCGCCCCGAAGCCCTTAAGGCCCCTTAACGTTAAAACTTTGAGGCCGGAGTATACCTGCAGCCACACCCCAAAACATCCCGCAGAGAATGCTGCGCAGCTTCCCTGGAATGCGGCCCTAAACCCTAAACTCTAAACCCTAAACCCTAAACCCCAAACCCTAAATCCTAAACCCTAAGCGAACTCAGGAGCCGGCTGGATGATGGAGCAAACCATGAGCCGGAGCTCTCGGAAGAGACGCATGACGCGGATGACCCTCCTGAGGGAAGCAGGCTAACTAGGGTTTAGGGTTTAAGGTGCAGGGTTTTGGGGCTTTAGGGTTTAGGGTTTATGTAGGGTTTTAGGGTTTAGGGTTTGGGTTTGCTTAGGGTTTGCGGTCTAGTGTACTCGTACCTCTCGGCGCGCCTTGACGGAAGAGGTCTCCACACCCTGTAGACCGTCCCTGTGCAGTCTAAGCCGCCAAGGCCTAGATGCAAGTTGGGTCGCTGCCCAGAAATCTAAACTCGCCCCCTGAAACCCGACACCCCAAGCCTAACAACATCGGATGCAGCGCGCCTTGTGGCAGGAGTGCCACTAAACCCAAACCCCTAAACCCAAACAAAATGAAACCCACAAGAACCCTAAAAGCCTCAAACCCACAAACCGCAAAACCCTAAACCCGAAACCTCCCAATACCCAAAAAGACCCGCAACAACCTGCATGACAGGCTTCTTCGGGGGCATGGTTGGAGGTAACTGGGGAAATTTGCTGCAACATTCGGGAACTAAAGCCCCCTCAATCATAAACAGGTGGGCTGGCCCAAATATCCAAACACCCTAAGCCCCCCGAAAATCGGTTCATGGGTCGTCAAAAAAACCCTGAAATTTTTAAAGCACAGTTACCCTACCTATATAAAGCCCCAAACCCCACTTATAAGTACCCATGAACCATGAACCCTAAACCCTAAACCCTAAACCCTAAACCCTAAACCCTAAACCCTAAACCCTAAACCCTAAACCCTAAACCCTAAACCCTAAACCCTAAACCCTAAACCCTATCCTGGCATCCCCGGGGCCCTCGCAGCACCCGGACCATGCGGAAGCCCCGGAGCAGGCGCGTGTAGGTAATGCCTTGTGAGGGGGTGGTTTAGGGTTTAGGGCTAGGGTTTAGGGTTCAGGGGTTTAGGACGTTTAGGGCGTTTAGGGTTTATGGCGTCTCGGGTTCAGGGCGGTTTCGCGTTTGTTGGGCCTTGGGGCTATTCGAGCGTAGGGGACGTCAACCCGGATCAACCTTATCTACAAACCGAAAAAACCTGTGCAACCCTACCGAAAAAGCTATATTCAATGATGAGAATCCTCTACACCCTGTACACTCTAAACCGCCCCACAACCCTTAATAACAACAGCGCCCGATTATAAACCCTAAACCCTAGAATCCCTAGAAAGCCGAAACCGGCTAGACAATATAGGGCGCAGCCGTTGTAGGTGGCGTTCAAGGTTCAGGGTTCGCAAAGGTTTAGGGTTTAGGAGGCCCCTAAACACGAAATGGGAGATCGAAGCGCAGGTTTCCTTCGAACCCTCCGGACGAGTGCCGCACTGAAGCCCGTCAGAAGCTCCTGCGACAGCGTGGCGCGTGGGCGATGAGGGCTTTAGGGTTCAAGGTTCAACGTGCAACCTAAACCCTAAACCCCACACCTCAATAAGCTAGGAGGATGAAGGGCGCACTTTCCGTGCTTCATGCATGAAGCTTGTAAGGGAATCCGAACCGAAAAAGAAGGAATAAAAGTACTGGGTCCCGCCATGACCTACGCTTCAGACCTGGGTTTTGGTGTCATGAAGTAGCGGTGGAGAGCCGAGTATAGGGTTTAGGGTTTAGGGTTTGGGGTCTAGGGTTTAGGGTTTGAGGTCTAGGGTTTAGGGTTTGAGGTCTAGGGTTTAGGGTTTGGGGTTTAGGGTTTAAGTAAGGTTTAGGTGAACCGCTGTCCTCGGAAAGGCAGTACGCAGCCTGAGCGTCTCTGCAGCGATTGCGTATACTCAGAGGTTCATGGTACTTACAAACCAAACAGAAACTGCACTTATCACCCAATTATGACCACTTTAGGGTATTTGAGGGGCTTATGAAGTTGCTTCTTATGTACCACGAACCTCCGAGTAGGGTTTGAAGGGTTTATCACGCGACTCGTTGGAGGGCGTCGTTCTAAGCCAAGGTGTTCTGCTCACTTTAGGGTTTAGGGTTTAGGGTTTTGGGGAACCCTGAACCCTAAACCCTAAACCCTAAACCCGAAACCCTAAACCCTCAACCCTAAAAGCGAAACCCTTAACCCTGATCCGTCGGCCCTCAGCCCACAAACCCTAAACCTCAACCTTCCAATGAACCCTACTGTTTCCAGAAGCGAACAGGGCTACTGCGGCGCGACACGGTGCCTAGGGTCTGTTTCGGGTTTAGGGCTAGGGTTTAGGGATGAGGGTTTAGGGTTTAGGGCCCAGGGTTTAGGGTTTAGGGTTCTGGGTTTAGGGTTTTTCAGGGCTTCGGGTTGGGGGAACAGTCCCAAGCTACATCCCAAAAGCCAAAACCCCAAGACCCCAAACTCAAAGCTAAAGCCCATATGACGACTACCGATAGCCTGAGCTTTCAGCCCAACGCCCTTCGCGGATTGAGACGTGTTTGGGAATTAGGGTTTTAGGGGTTGGGTTATTGGGAGTTTGGGAATTAGGGTCTAGGCGTCTAGGGTTCGAGGGTTTGGTTTTGAGTTTGGGCCTAGGGTTCAGGGTTCAGGGTTTAGGGCTCAGAGCAGGTTATGTCAGAAGCCCGGCTGTACTTCAAGGAGTGTCCCGGAATCATGGGGGAAGAGTTTTGTTTTTGGAGGCTATGCAGCTGAATCGCCAGCAAGAAGTCGAAGATGTTCCACTTCCAATCGATGCCATACACGAAGTCCAGCCTGAACCGGGCTGGCACTTGGAGACTTTCTAAGGGTAGTTACATGGTCCCGCAGTATGGGCAGTTAAAAGGGTACCCCGGATACGCCCCTTATATGCCGTATGCAAATTCGGGGCCCATACATCAGAACCCTTTAAAGGAGGTAAGGGACTATACTAGGGGCCCATGAAACTGACTTGTGGGAGTATGTAGCCCTGAGGCTTTCGGGTTGGGGCGTTCGGGGTTTAGGGTTTGGGGTTTAGGGGTTGGGCCTTTTGGCTGCCAGGCGAATCAAGACCTCCGCGACAAACATCCCGACCTCTGCTGGGGCGGGGGGGGGGGGGGGGGGAGTGTAGGGCCTTTTGCTTGAAGACTCAAGTAGGGCTATAAGCAGGGTAGCTCTACCTACCTCTGGAGTAGGCCCTGGAAAAAAGTACATACATTTTAGGTATAAGTAGCTAAAGTGGGAACCCAGAACAAAAAAAAACATTAAAGTATAGCACTCCAAACCCCAGTCTAATGATAGCCCTACTTTGGGTGCTTAGAACCCTTCTTGTAGCAGAGTTTCTGGGGTTCAAGGGGGGAAGGCCTTTTGCTCGAAGGTTGCAGTAGGGTCATGCCCTGACCAGAACCCTACCTAGTTTCCTTCTCAACCCTTCTTATACTACCCATGAACCTTCAAGTAGCCCTAAGCCCTAAGCCCTAAACCCCACACCCTAAACCCCAAGCCCTTTCGGGCGAGGTTCAGGTGCTGGAGGGAGGGTTTGGAGCTTCCGTTAAATTGAGGGCTTCGAGCGGTTTAGGAGTTTAGGGTTTAGTGGTTTTGGGGTTTAGGGTTTAAGGGTTTAAGGGTTTAAGGGTTTAAGGGTTTAAGGGTTTAAGGGTTTAAGGGTTTAAGGGTTAAAGGGTTTAAGGGTTTAAGGGTTTAAGGGTTTAAGGGTTTCGGGTTTAGGGTTTGGGGTTTAGGGTTTAGGGTTTAAGGTTCCAGGGTCTAGAGCTTTTGTTGAGGGTTCGGGCGGAAGCCGTCGGAAGGGTGTCTTCTTAGAGGCCCGTTGTTAAAGTCAGAAGGTCAGGGTCCTCTAAATTTTAAACCCCCTGAAGCCAAATCCCTCAAACCTTACTTACTCGATATCTTAGATGCTTTTTCAACCCCAAACCCAAAACCCAAAACCCTCTACGGCCTAAACCCCGAAGCCCCCCCCCCCACACCCCCGCACCAATTTAGGATCTTTAGGGTTTAGGCGCCAGCCGGCTTGAGGGTTTAGACCCTAAACCCTAAACCCTAAACCCGAAACCCTAAAACGTAAACCCCTAACCCTAAACCCTAAACCCTAAACCCCAAACCCCAAACCCTAAACCCTAACTCTCAAACCCTAGACCCTCGGTACTCAGTACCAGGGGGCTGGAAGTCTGAGGCCTACGCTTGACGATGACCTGGGTCCTTGAGAGGCTTAGGTCTTAAGGCGCTAAGCCCCAAGCCCAAGGGGGTATCCCTAAACCATAATTAGACCCGAAACCCTAAACCTTAAACTTACCCTAAACCCTAAACCCTAAACCCTACACCCAGCACCCTAAAGCCTAAACCCGAAACCCCCAATTTTTCTGGACTCGGCTTCCGGACGAAGATTTGGTTCACCATGTGGAACCACGTGGGATCTCCTTTCGAGGAGTGTGGAGGTTTACGAAATATGGTTCAGGGCTGAGGGTTTAGGGTTGAATAGTAGGATTCGCTGATAAACAAGACCCCAAGAAGGTACCTCCCCCCCCCCCCCCCACGGCTTTAGGAAGTTTCATAATTTAGGGATGGCTTTGCGCCTTTAGGGTCTAGGGTTTAGGGTTTAGGTGTGGTGTAGGGTGTCGTCTTGAAAATAAAGGGTCGAAGGCCAACACCGCATCATGTGTGGTACCCTGAACACCGAAGCCGCCCCATGACTGCTGATCCCGAAAGTGAACTCAAAACCCTAAAGCCCTCAACTTACCCTACAACCTACAACCCTAATTAAGAGCCTCTCTGAAGCCGTAAAACCTCACAACCTGAAAACCTTAACGCCCTAAATCCCTGGGACCCTGAAACCCTGAACCCTGAACGATCTACGGTTCGGGAATCGGCGCACTTAGCTCCACCCTGTAGAAATCAAGCCGAAAAACCACACCCAGAAGCCACGCAGCCTCTTTGCGGCGTGGCCAGCACGTTCTGCATGCTCACGTCGGTCATGATGCCAATGAAGACCTTTTAGGGTTTAGAGTTTAGGGTTTAGGGTTTGCGGTCTAAAAACTTTAACGTGTCAACACATGAAGCCCTTAAGCCTGAAACCCTAAACCCTAAACCCTATTTTGGGGGCCAAGTGCTTCGGGAAAAGGAAATAAGGTAGACAAGCATCCATTCAATGGACGGCTTTCACTGGAGCCGTGGGGGGGCTTCAACGTTGAGGGATCAGGGTTTGGCCTGGGGTTTGGGGTTTCAAGGTTCATGGGAGACCCTAAACTATACGGCCATGCACCCAAAACTCCAAGTCTAGGCGTTCCAACCGTTTCCAGGTGGCGGGGACTACAAAGACCCGAGAGGCCCCAGAACCTCAACCTGCATTCCGCCCCCAAACACGCATTTCGAATTGGGTTTAGCGATAAACCCTCCAGAACTTAGTCAGATTTGGAAACCCCTGGAAGAGAAGCGTAGCGTAACTTCAGAGCATCAAACCAACAAGCCCCTATTTGGAGGCGATGGCTTTAGGGTTTGAGGTGAGGGTTCGAACAGAGCAGCAACTGTGCTATAGCCCGGTTACAACCACCATTGGACCTCCAAGTAGCCACGGAACCCTAAACCCCCCCAGACCTACAGAACATCTAACCCTGCATGCACTGGTAATAGGATGCGTATTTGCTCTTCACTGAAGAAAGTCCAGGCCTAGACGTTAAGATTTCCATATCAGCAGCGGTCAATTTTACTTGTTAAGTTGAAGGACAGGATGTTGGGGTTATCGTTTTCCGCGTGTCCCATATCGCTCTGCAGGTTGAAACGCTCCTCCGCTAATTTCATACCAAGTCCCTACATCGCATATGTATTTATCATCATGTTGGGGTTATCCTTTTTTGCGTGTCCCATATCGTTCTGCACATCAACAGCCACCAAACCATAAATTGATGTCCGTCCCTTACAAAGTACGCATGTCTCTCAGCATGAGAGACCGTTCCTCGTGGATGACCGACCATGTTTGTGCGATTGCATCGAGGTGTAAGCGCAAAGTTGGTACTGGTCTGACAAAACCGCCCCTGCTGTCAAACACGCACTGCACAGTCAGATGGCTTCTTGCCAATTCGGCAATCTTCGCAATCACCTTCTTCATTCCAGATGTTGTATCACATGAAGTCAAAAGACTCCGAACATCGGCTTTTTGCAATTGACCTAAGCCAAAGAAAGCTCTCCACATTCACGCACCATGCATCCACCCGTCCTTCCATGCATACATACATACATACATACATACATGCATGCATGCATGCATACATACACACAAACAAACAAATATACAACCCTGAAAGCCTATAGCCCTAAACCCTGCCTAATATGGCGCACTCCATGACAATGCACCTCTTCCAAAATATTGTCCATATCGCGCCGAAGCCCTAACACACAAAAACCTCTAATCCTCAAAGCCCTAAGCCCTAAACCTTTAAACCCCTAAAACCCTTTATCCCTGAATCTCTTGAACCCTTAACCCTAAAGCCAAATCCCCAAAATAGCCCCGAAACAAAAACCCAAGCACTAATCCCTAAAACCCAGAAGCTTCACGAATTCCGTAAACCCTGACCCTGCACCCTAAACCCTAAACCCTAACCCTAAACTCTAAACCCCAAGCCCCAAACCCTAAACCCCAAAGTCCCCTGCGCATCCCTGGGGCCCCCGGGCTGCATTGGCGAAGATGATGAAGCCGACGGCCAGCTGGAAAGCCTGGGGTTTAGGGTTTAGGGCTAGGGTTTAGGGTTTAGGGTTTCGGGTGTGAGGTTTAGGATTGGGGGTTAAGGGTTTAGGGTTGTAGAGTTGAGGGTTGAGGGTTTGGTTGAGGGATTGTCTACTTCCGGATGGGTTTAGGGTTGAAGGTGGAAAGGGTTGAGGAATTGGGGTTTGGGGGCTTGGGGCTTGGCGCTTAAGGGTCTGGGGGGGAGGCTTCGGATTTGGTGTTTTGCGCGCAGAGGCTTTAAAGTTCAGGTGACAGTTCAAGAAGTTCAGTGATCGAATGCGGTAAGCTAGAAACCCTTAACAGCATTGACGCGTCGCACATATTATAGATAGAGGACATACGGGAGGGCTTTAGGGGGGGCATTCGCGTTGAGGTCGGTGGCTCACTTTTGCTACTGGCGACGTTTGCCACGGTTTGATCGGCAGTGCCTGTGAACCCTCAAACCTCAACCCACACCTCTAAACCCATCTGAAAGTAGACTCGCAGGTCGTTCTTATGCTACGAATTTATGGTTGCAAAGGTTCGGGTTTCTTCACTGAACTTGGAACCCTTACAAAAATTACTATTTGTTTTTTTAGGAACTACTGACTATAGTGCCCAAATGTTAAAAACTATGCCCAAGCTACCCTAAGGTTTAGGGTTGAGGCCTACAAACGCCGTTGCCCCTGCGGAATACCCTAACCCCTAAACCCTAAACCCGTTGCAAAGGAAAGGGCTTAGGGCTGAGGCTTACAAACGCCGTTGTCCCCTTGAGGAAGAGGCCGTGCCATCCACCAGCTGCTCTAGCTTCGTCTTTGGTGGATGCACCTGACCGCGCAGGGTCAAAATTAGGGTTAGGGTTTAGGGTTTAGGGTTTCGGGTTTAGGTTTAGGGCGCAGGTTCAAAATTAGGGTTTGCGGGTTTCGAAGGTTTGTAAATAAGGTTTCTAGGGTTTAGGGCGCAGGCTCACAATTCGGACTTGCAGGGTTCCTACGGTGTTAAGCTAAGGTTTCGAGGGGCTGTAGGGTTTCGTAGGGCTTATTAGGGCTTCTAGGGAATAGTGTGGCTCGAACCTGTAGGCACGACGTGCGCAATTGTGCTTGTGTAGAAATGAATACATGTACGAAGCAAAGGTTCATGGCGGAGGCGGCAGTGCTCCAGCGCAACGCTGAGAAGAGGTCGAGCTTCTGAGGCCCGCTTCACCTATACTTTGAAAGGGCCACGCACTTCAGTTGCGGTGATTAGGCGCCTTTCGCCTGACGCTGATGCCCCAAAGCCGAGCTGGGGCCAAGCACCGTTGCCGGTGGCACGGCTGCGCCAGCAACAGCACCCCCCGGATGTGACCCTGCTGAGACCTACGCACTCGCGCGCGTGCAATCTCAGAGTTCGGGGTCCTGCGTGACTTGTCCTTCACGCGCTGCTCCCAAACAGCTTTGCAGGCAAAGATTAAAAAACCTTCTGCGCAGCTTTGGCGACGTCTGCCCGGCAGTGAAGAGCCTTTCTCCCCGAAGCGTGACCTCAGCAGCCTTTGTCTGCAGGCCGGCTTTCGCAAAAACTGCTCCGGAGGAGCGGCCATTCCAAGCCTTCACCAGGAGACTCGTGGCTTTGGCATCCGCGCCAGCCAGCGGAATACGTAAAGCGGTTGAGCGGCAAAACCATTCCGTGCGTTGCCATGCAACACGCCGACATGTGCAAATCGGCTTGGGGCACGGCTTCTTCCGTAAACGACAAATGAACGAAGTGAATGCAATACGCCTGCTACACACGTATCAAACTTGCGAGCCTGCGAGCGGGGAATTTAAGAGGGCTGTAAAGAAATTCGAATTAGTGCCCGCTTAATACTGAAATAGTAGTGTCTGATTTCCTCGCGAGGCCCATCTCTACATGGGAGTGATGTCGAGATATTGCTCCTCATCTGTACATACCCTATACTTCCAGGGACCTAATAGCTGAGTCCTTGAGGGTTCTAGTAACCTAACTACTAGGTACACGGGCCATAGAAGGCCGCGTGGTTTCGCGCATGCTGCAATGTCACGAAGAAGTGCCTTGTAACCCACGCTTGCCAGTGTTTTCGTAACTTTTGGGGATTTCAAGACGGAAATCACACCCGCAAAGCTAGGGAACAAAACTACTCGAAAAAACGGAAGTGAGCACCAAAATCGGGAAAAAGAGATATAGAGCACATTGTTTTTTCTGCACACGGCTTGAACCACAATCGTTGCAGTGCGACGGCTCTTTGGACGTGCATCCATGCCACTGAACATGTGTGCTCTAGCTGCAGGCATATGTTCTACCCTTACAAGCTACAGGTAGTCGTGTAGTTTTTGGGAGTCCTGCTCACGGCTGTGGGGATTCAGTGATGGAGACAAAGAGATCCGGTCTGGGGTCCTGGAACCTTGACTTCGGGATTCAGGGTGCACTGCTGTGGGAAGGAAGAGGGTGGTTTTGGTCCGGTGGGCTGGCAGTTCAGGGGTACGCTGCATTTGACGTGCCCAATGAACGTGCCCAACCCCCCAAAACCCCCCAACCCACCCCGCCCATACGCTGTAGGAGTGGGGCTGCAGACACCGCTGGCAGAAATGCGAGAACTTGCAATCTTTGTGGGGGCAACCGGGCAACCGGCCTTCTTTTGGAAACGGAAGCAGAGGAGCTTCCCATCAGGGCCCCTCTTGTGCTTCGCGATGGTCTTCAAAACTTTTCCCTTGCAATCGCCATTCTTGCCGAGACCTTTTCCCGCACCCTTCCAGCCGGCCCCAACTTCCACCTGCCCAGTGCCACCTAGGCTGTCAGTGCAACCACCAAGAGAGAACGGGGTCATGAAGTGGAAGGCGAAGAGGTCCGGAGCTGCGCAAGCTGCCTTCAAAGCAGCACCAAGATCGCCCACTGCGCCGTCACGAACAGACTGATACGCTCGCTTGCGCAGCTCTGACTCATACTTGAGAATCAAACTCCACTTAGGAACACGACCATCCTCGGCCCTTAAGCCTGCAACCTTATCTCCAAGCACAAAATCAGACAGTCTGCGAAAGGCGTCCACGATGCTTTCAGGCAACCAAGAGCGCGTCGCGCGCTTGGATCGGATCATGTGCCAAGCCAGCCCGAGACGGCGACGACGAAGCCGCAGCTCTTCTGGGGTGGCTGGCGGCACTGTCATGGCGCGCCCCGGCTTGATCTGCAGACATGAAGAAGCTGGGTCAATTACGGCGGCATAGGCTTCAGTCTCGGCATCTTCTAAGCTAGTTGCATCTCGAAGATCTTCAACGACTGGAGCGTTCTCCTCAACCTGCTCGAGCTTCTGAGCCAACAAAGACAAAGACTTGCTGGGCAACTCTTTGTCGGACAAGGTGCCGTGGTAGGCTTCCACAGCGCGGCGCATGGCTGCGTACTCTGATGTTTGCACCACTCGGTCCTGCACCCCAAGTTTGGACTCCGCGCGGTTCTTCTCCGTCATGCTCAACTGCCGCCGGCATGCGTCCCAGACTGAGAGGAGCAAGGCCATGTGCACACGCGAGTCTGCATTTTCCGTGTAAGGCAACGGCAGTTCTTTGGCCAAAGCTTTACCACTGGGCTACCAAGAAGAAAAGGCATCGGTGATCCCAGCGACGCGGCTGCACCTGGGAGATTTGATAGCGCCTGCGGCTCTGGGCCGAAGCAACAAATCGCCCCCTAAACCCGAAACCCCTCAACCTCTAGGCCCCTAAACCCCTACCCTAAGGATCTTGAGACTTTCTGGGCTAAGGTCCGGGCTTTATGGGTTAAAGGGCTGGGCTTTAGACTTTGGTGAGCAAGGGTCGCGGCCTGAGACCGCCTCGTGGCTTGAAAGCGAATGAAGGCCCGCGAAGGCCCCTGAGAGCCGTGAAGGCCCTGAAAGCCCAGTCATGTTGGCGTGCCTCCCCGCAAACCTCAATTGAAGTCATATTTTGCCATAGAGCTTTGTCAGACCCCATGAATAGCTGCACAGTTTAAGCAGACATGGTGCTGATTGTGCGGAATGGATCGATGTGGCACCGTGGCAAGACATGCCGCGGGGAGCTGCTCGAGGACTGCTGCATCACGTCAGATTCAATATTTTGTGAGCTATGTGTGAGATTGGACCCATATGTGTGGAGCCTGCTCAGAACATGTGGCATGCTGCGAGGGGAAATGAAGAGAGCAGCATGAGTGTGCATGCATGCACGCAAAAGACAACGAAAGCTGTGAAACTTTGATGACCTGTCGAATCTGTGCGCCATGCTGCGCCGACCGCAAGCTGCGGACATGGCTTGTGCCTTGTTACGCTACTGTGTGTTGTGTTCGGCTTGTGTGCGTGTGAAAATATGGGCCATCAAGAGCATGAGGTGCTCTGAAAACGTACCTTTCGAGCTCGGCTTTTGTATCTTGTTCAACTACCGCGCGGCCATGCAACACATTGTTCGAAAACATTGCCAACCCGATCAATGTGGTCTATGATGATATGATGAATTACTTCGACGTCGTTCTTGCATTTTTCAGGCTGTCACCAATGGGCCTCATGGATAAAATCCTGGGTCTGCAAGCACATGTGTGCTTTCAGTATGAAGAATGCCCAAATTGATCTAAGGAGAGTTTTCCATGACAGATCTACAGATGGTGTTTCGAAAGCTCGATGATGAATGCAACCACAGTCTCAGCCAAGGGAAACTCTTGAAGGAGAGGCACCAATGGGCCAAAGGCGAATTTTAGCAGCGTCAGTCTGGGAGTTCTGACTGAGAGTGGTCGGTAACAGTTCCAAGTTTGGATTTGCATGCAGTATGGCCTGAATTAAGGAGACAGATACACTATTCGGGCTATTATCCTACGCAAGAAGGTACTGGAGAAAGAGTCTGTCCCGGGAAAGCACTACAGAAGCCACCAAACAGAACATTATGTGTGCGTGAGGTGATGTGAGTTGTGTGCTTGTTCTGTGCGGTGTGCACGCATGTACATCTCACCCTTCAATATTTAGCTCAGGCCGCTGTGAAGCTGAAAGGTATCCTGCAGCAGAACCCGCGAAGACTGCGACCCACATTGAGCAGGGCGCACAAACGTAGGGCTGCAGCACTTAAGTCGCTGAAATGTGTCAAAACAGAACCTGCAAACAAGCAGCTTGCTTTGAGCACAGAAGTTTGGGAAATTGAGTCGGATTCGGACGTAGAGTGCCTTGATCCACCTGGGGTTGGGGCAATGGACTCGTCTGGGTCACCTGCTGGGCAAGACATGAAGGCTTGGACTGAATGCGGGGCAAATGCATGTTGCTCTATATCACGCAATGCATGCAAAGCTCGCCCATGGCTTGAGTGCGTGCACGCAGGCCCCACAAGTGGAGCACGACAACCAGCAGGCGTGGCAGGTTTTCCATGTTGCTTGGCCTGCATGACTGTATAGACATGTCTGTGCCAACACACATGTCATTTGCCGGCGAATTGGTTTCACGGTTGTTCCCAGGAGTGCCGCCAGCACCCGAAGTTTGAGATGTATCGTGATCTCATGAATCACTCTGGCCAGGAAGCTTGGAATGAATGATGTGTTCATGGGGTGTGCAAGGCTCATGTCATGCATGCATGGTTTTTTTTTCTGTGTCAGGAGGTCTTTACCTACATCGAGAGGGTCTTCTCTGACCAATCTGACTTCCTCGCCTGGCTGAACCAGGAGACTGCGGCGGAGGATGCCGCGAAGATGGCCTCGCAGCAAATGCTGCAGCATCCCCGCTTTCGAGACTTCTGTGCTGCGGTGCAAGTTGGTCCTGAGGAATGGGGCAAGCCTGGAGCGGACTTGACCATGGAGGTGTCTTTGTTTCAGGAATGGGTTGTGGCCGCTGAGAGGGAGGCTGC